ACCCTTTAACTTTTACACAGTTTTATACACTCTTTGGGGAAGTTAGGGACTTCACATACATCATAGCATCTCTTAGCAAATCATCACACACGGTGGGAAAATCATAAAACAACTCTAAAACATGATTAGCACATTCACTGGTGGGAACAAGTTGGGTAGGGATGATTGGTTACTACAAGAGGGGGATTCATTTGAACTGATTGGTTTAAGCCAAGAGGGGTGTTCGTTTCCCAACACCATAAACTACTGGGAGGGTCATCTGGCATCCCAGGGTATTTCCCTGTCTCATACTGATTGGTGGCTGTTATGGGGTTGCTATGGGTCCCCACCTAGCCTGACTGAGTCAGGGACACCTGGTGCAGCAGATCTCATTAGTAGATAAACAACTTAGCAGGGTGGGAATGTGCCTAGGGGTGAGCTGTGGGTCTTTCCAAGGACAAAGGTCATGTCCCTTCCTTGGACAGGCTTTGCTCTGAGGTAGAGGCTGGTTTTTCAAACATTTGAAAGGAAAGACGATTTTTCAAAAATGTAACTTATACACTTGTTTCAGCCCTACCAAGGGTAAATAAAGCTGGAACCTATTAAGGAAGGGTTCATTTGGAAATCAATTACAATGAGCAGAAAGGAAATGGTATTGGTAGAAACTTCAGAACTCAGGGTAAAACTGAATTCTCAATTCTGGCATTTGGAAGTATCCCTTTATTAAGTACAATGTTCCCATACTTCTCTGGGACCTTATAGGCTCAGGATTCAGATTTGAAACCTATGTTCACTATGTAAACTGCTTTTCATAGGAGATGGGAAACTGTATTTGGAGGGAGGTTGTAGAAAAAGTATCTTGCAAAATGCTCCAAGCGCATTAAGAAATTGTATATCACGAGAGCAAAGCCTTCATATTGATCTTAAGGGCACTTAAGGCCTAAACTCAATGTAGCTGAATATGTGCATTTTGAAAATGGTTTATAAGAACAAGAATGAAATAAAAATGGCAGGCAGCTTCCAGAAACAGATTTAATTCACAAAGGGGTCTTACTGAGTCTGATTTTTCTGCAACAAAGGCTTCATATTCTTCCCAAGGGCTTCCTAGTTACCATGCTCAAAAGGACGGAATATCTGCCATTGGAAAACAGCTACAATGAACAGAAGGCAAAAGTTAAGAAAGCTGCACTACATAAGATCAAGCTGAATTTTTAATTCTTGCATTTGGAGTTACTCCTTTGTTATCTATAATGTTTCATAGATCTCTGGGGCCCTATATGCCCAGAACTTAGATTTAAATCCCAGGTTAAATTTGTAAACTGATTTTACTAGGTTTAAGAAAATTATACTTGGAGGGATTTTTTAGAGGTAGTTTCTTCTGAAATGCTCCAGGTGGCATTAAAGAATCATCTTTCATCACACACAGATGTTCACATTTATCTAAGGGCACTCAAGGCCTGAAGTCTGTACAGCTGAATATGTCCACTTGGAAAACAGGTTATAGGAACAGGAGTAAAACGAAAGTGGCAAACTGGGCATAGTAGCATGTTCCTGTCATTCCAGCAGCTCAGGAGCCTGAGGCAGGAGGATCATGAGTTCAAAGTCAGCCTCAGCAACTCAGTGAGGCCCTAAGCAACTCAGAGAGACCCTGTCTCTAAATAAAATATAAAAAAAGGGCTGGGGATGTGGCTCCACGGTTAAGCACCCCTGGGTTCAATCTCTGGTACAAAAAAAAAAAAAGAAAAGAAAAAAAAAGAAAGAAAAAAGTGGCAGGGAACTTTCATTAACAGATTCATCCTTAGTTCAGAAAAGGGTCACATTGAATGGGCTCCTGCTGCAACATAGGATTAACTTTATTCCCAGGAGTTTAGTAGGTGCAGTGCTAAACAAGGTCAAATATCTGCATTTGAAAAACAGCCAGAATGAGCAGAAGTGAACTGGTACATGTAGAAATATAAAAGTCTTCACAGTAGAGGATCAAACTTAATTCTCATTTCTGGTAATTGGAGTTGTCTCTTTAATAAGTACAATGTTTACAAAGTTTAATAAGTACAAAAGATGGAAAACTGTAACTGGAGTGAGTTTGCAGAGGTGATTTCTTCCCTAATCCTCAGGATGATATTAAGGAATTGTCTTTCAACTCATCAGAACATTAGCTTTCCTGCTAAGGGCACCTCAATACAGCAGAAAATATGCATTTTGAAAATGGTTTATTAGAACAGAAGTAAAATGAAAGTGGCAGGCAGTTTCTAGAAGCAGACTAAAACTAAATTCACAAAAGTTATCACTGAATTGACTATTGTTGCAATACAGGCTCACTTTCTTTAAAGGGGCTTCCTAGTTACAGTGCTCAAAATGCCCAAATATCTTCCTTTGGAACAACAGTAGAACAAACAGAAGGGAAATGCTACATATAGAAAGCTTCACAAAACTGGAAGCTGAATTCTCAATTCTTGCTTTGAGATTTATCTCCTTTATTAAGTATAATCTTCTCATTCTTCACTGGGGTTCATTAGGCCAGGACTAAGATTTGAAGCCTGTATGTAATTTGTAAAATGCTTTTTGTAGAATATAGAACAGTGTTAATGGAGGAAGTTTCTAGTGGTAATTTCTTCCATAATGCTCCAGGTGGCTTTAAAAGGCATTGTCTTCATTGGCAGTACAACAGATTAATTTGTCTCACCTGGGAGTGAGGGGCTGGATGAAGAGTCCTGCTCTGGGTTTACTGCTAGAAGAGAAATAGGGTGAACTGATATTGCTTCCCTCCCCCGTCCCCCACCACAGAAACAGGGTACAACCTGGATGGAAGGGTGCCAATTTTAGGCCGTTTGAGGCCATCCCTGGCAGAACAGTGAGGAAGAAATTTCTGGGAGGAAGGGAAATGTTTCTTTCAGGTGGTGTCCTTGGCTTGGTCTCAGGTTGTGGTTGCTATGTGAAGTGTCCATGTATAGAAAACTGCACCCAGACTTCTGTTCTAGAAAGACAGATTTCTGAGGGTTCTTATGATCTAATCTTTGTGCATTGCAATAATTCCCCATGGACAGATTTTGGGGATATATTGGTCACCTCTGAGGAGCCAGAGGCTGAAGAATAAAACAACAGAACAGCAACAATAAAAATGAACTCACCCTTGTTGAATCTCTGGACAAGTAGGAGGGAGAAAAGTAAAGATTTTTTCACAGACTTATTAGACATCCATGATGTCAGGGTGCCAGTTTCAGGGAGTCTGAAGCCATTCCTCTAGAAGCAGGGTAAAGAAATATCTGCTGTGAGAATAATTCATTTTTGAAATGGTGGTCTTAGCTCAATTTCAGCCTATGGTTGGGTCATGAAGTGAAGTGCACATTCATGGAAACCCACACCCACTGTGGTGTCCCAGAAAGCCTCTTTCTGAGGGCACTTCTGGCTTAGCCTTGGGGGGTAAGAACTACACTCCTCTGGACAGGCTCAAGAGGGGTTTGAGTATTCTCAGCTAGGGAGTTAGGAGCTAAATGAAGAGACTTGTCCCATCTGAATTGTTAGAAGACTCTGGAGACACCCAAGATTCAAGTGTTCCAGCTGTAGGCAACCACTTGTGTTAGAAAGAGTTATAAGGAAAATCCTGGAAATAGATGAAATATTTCCCCAAGCACGGGAGCATGGCTAGACCCAAGGTTGGTTGGAGGCAGGATATATGCTTAGTCCCTGCTCCCAGACTGGGATCCTAGTCACATTTCTGATGATTCCTTTGGCCCAAATGTAAACATTGGAATAACCCTTTCCTGGTCAGACTTAGGAGGAGAGAGTTCAGTCACATGCGAGCAGTCAGGGGACACATGAAGGGCCTTGCCTGTGATAACGTTGGGAAAAAAAATGAGATAAATAATTCACTAAAAAAGGAGGGAAACCCAAACAAAAACTGTGGGAAGCCATTCTCGCATGTGATTGGGCATCTCCCGGATTGGGTGTGAGGCGTTCTGGCCAAACTGTGTTGGAGCTACCCCCACCCTCTCCAGGTGCGAGAGCCTGTCAGTGTGGGGGTGTGACTGACCACTGACCCTGAGACCAATCACTGACCCTGACCTTGGAATGCTGCCCCCCTCGACCTTCATTGGATGGAATTTTCCCCTGAATTTCTTGTTCCCCAATAAAAGGCCACTCCCTGGCATGCTCTCTCTCTCTCCTGCTAGTCCTGAGTAAGCCTTGCTGCCCCACCAGGTGGTTCAAGGGGAGAGCCCTCTCGGACCTCATCATAGAAAAAGGTAATTGAGTCTGTGTGTTTTATTTTGATCTCACTAGTTAACTTCTATGTTACGAACCTCTTTAATGAAACCAGCATGCTGGTCGCCTGGTGGAATTGGCGCCTAATGAGGAGGCATTCTAGCTTAACTAGATTGAGTGGGAGTGCACTATAAAGATAAAGGAATTGGTGACAATTTTGGGTCACAAAAGTACCTGGAGGTACTGAAGGAACGAGATGTTAAATTAATTAAAATGGGAAATTCAACTACTACGGATAAGGAGATGTATCTGACTATTCTAGACACCACAATTAATCAGAAAGGAAAACAGATAAAGAAAACTCAGTTATTACAATTCTTAAAGGTTGTAGGCGAATATTGCCCTTGGTTTTGTGAACAAGAATCCCCAAATTTACTTACTTGGGAGAAACCAGGGAGGAAATTACGAAAAGTTTGTCTTTGTAATGAATTACCTGGAGGCATAGAAAATATACAGAAAACTTGGATGGCTCTGGAAATTTGTCTTTTTGAATATATGGGCCAGAGTCGTGGCCCCCTGAAGGTCTATTGAAAGGCATTCAGAGAGCTATTAGGTCTATTCAAATGGAAAATCCGCCTGAGGCTAAGTTAATTTCTTTTCCCTTGAGCCATTTAAAAACAAAGGCTCTAGGGGCTAAACCGAAAGTTAGGAATGTGACTTTAAACTTGCAGGATCAGACTAGCCTGCAGGGTGATTATAGAGAGGAAGGTCATAGAGAAGAAATCTCCGTAGTCATAGAGAGTCCTCCGGAAGAGAGAGACGATCCTCCCGGAGAGGAAAATCCAGAAGAAATTCTTAGAGAGGCACAGAGTCCTTCTCCACCACATGGCTTAGAAGCCCAATTTCAAAATGGCGTCAGTGGAGATTCTACCTACGAGTCACAGTCTGAGGGAGAAGAATCAGACATTGAAATTCAGGAGTTACAGAGAAATTTTAACAGGCTGCGTTTAACACCGCCTGCCCAGGCTATTAGAATTTGGCCATTATCTGCTAAAAGGACAAAATTTAACAGGTACGCTGAATTAACAATGACTTTTCTTACCCTGTTCCAGTGAGGTATTAAGAAGGCACAAGAGGCAGGGGAAGATATTAGTGGTTTTCAACTTTTCCCAGTTTTTGAACAAGTTAATGAACAGGACCAGAGAGTTCGAGTTCATGCTGTAATCCCATTTGAGACTATTAAGGAATTGAAAAGTGCTTGTGAGACGTATGGTCCAAATACTCCCTTTTGTACAGAACTTAATTGATAATATTTCTTCACAACCACTTCCACCTAGTGATTGGATTTCGTTAGCCAGATCTTGTTTGAGTGGAGGGGATTTCTTACTTTGGCATTCTTATTGGACTGATTTTTGTACTGAACAAGCAGAAAAAAATAGAAAACAAAATTTACAGACCGCAGTGGAAATGTTTTTAGGAACAGGTGAATTTGCTGATTTGGAAAGACAGTTAAGTTATGAATTTGTGGTTTATGATCAGATAACTGACTGTGCTAAATGTGCCTGGAAACAAATAGTCTCCAAGGACCAGTCCAATTTAGTTCTTACCAGAGTCAAGCAGGGTGCGAGTGAACCGTATTCAGATTTTGTAGCCCGACTGTATCAGACAGCAAATAGGTCTATCGGAGACCTGGGAGCATGCGAGTTTATTGTTAATCAATTGGCATTTGAAAATGCGAATAAATATTGTCAGGATGTTCTTAGACCGCACCGTAAAAAAGCAACAGTTTCTGAGTTTATCCGCTTGTGTTCTGAGATAGATTCCACCCATTTGCAGACAGTAACGCTAGCTACGGCACTGAAAGAAACCCTAAAGCCACAGAAATTAGTACGGAAACACCGTGGAAGATGCTATCTCTGCGGGAGAAATAATCATTTGGCCCGCGAATGTCGCGCGTAATTGTAAGTTCAGGGCTCCATCTACTGTTGATAATAGATATTGCAGGACTCAACCCGACGTGGCAGATTAAGATGGCGTGGATCAGCCCACCTTCTCACCATCATTTCCTCCTAGCGAGAGAACAAAAAACTTCTGGTTGGCCCCTCCCCGGGCCGAGCAAAAATACGGAGAATTCGAGGAGGGGTTGCACAGTGTGACGTCACTGGTGCCTTCCAGGACGGCCTGCAATTTTTACCGGAACGTAAATCACAGACAGTTTCCTTAGGACCCTCAACGACAATTGAATTGAATCCTGATTCAGGGCCAAAACAAATCCCTACTGGGATTTTCGGGCCGCTTCCTGATAATACTATAGGTTTAATTTTGGCACATAATAATTTAAAAGGAGCCATTGAGGTAATACCTGGTGTGATAGATTCAAATTTTAAAGGACAATTAAATGTTACTATAAGGTCCAACTATGCCCTAAGGCTTACTCCAAAGAATGCATTTGCCCAATTGATTTTATTGCCCTGTGATTCGGATAAACACCAGCAAGTAAATTTAGTTTCTAAACCTCCAGACAGAGTGTACTGGTCTCAATTAGTGCGACAAGAACGCCCTTTATCAGAACTTAAAATTAATCATAAAAACTTCAAAGGAATTCTCGATACAGGGGCGGATATTTCTGTCTTTTCTAGTAGATTCTGGTGTAGGAATTGGCCCTTACATGTAGCACCAGCTAACCTAGAGGGAATTGGACAAATTTCACAGCCTGCTCAAAGTGCAAATTATCTCCATTGGGAAGATTCTGATGGGAACAGTGGAGTTTTTAAACCTTATGTGTTAGAGTCTTTACCAGCAAACCTATGGGGAAGGGATATTTTAGCAAAAATGGGATTGTTATTAATAACTCCAAATCCTATAAGGTCAATTGAGGAAGTTAATCAGAGGTATTTTCCTGGAGATGATAAGAAGACCTTTCAGGGAGAGTATCTGTTTACAAACCAGTCTCCACGGCAAAGATTAGTAAATGCTCCAAGCCAAAATTTTTACTAGGGGCCCTGAATGTTTCCCCGATCCTAAAGACAGCTGAAAAAATCACCTGGCTCACAGAGGAGCCTATATGGATTTCTCAGTGGCCCATCTCAGGGGAAAAACTTAAAATAATTCATAGGTTAGTTGAGGAACAACTTCAGGCTGGTCATATAGAACCAACACTGAGTCCTTGGAACACACCTATTTTTGTTATTAAGAAAAAGTCAGGAAATTGGAGATTGCTACAGGATTTAAGGGCAATAAATCATGCAATTCAGCCTATGGGATCATTACAGCCAGGACTTCCTTCCCCCACAGCCATCCCTTTAAACTATAGCTTGATGGTAATAGATTTAAAAAATTGTTTTTTCTCTATAAGGTTACATCCTGGAGATTGTGAGAAATTTGCCTTCACTGTCCCAGCAATAAATTTTAATGAACCTGTTAAAAGATATTGCTGGAAAGTACTCCCCCAGGGAATGCATAATAGTCCTACCTTATGCCAAAAATATGTAGATCAGGTGATAGACCCCATAAGAAATAGCTTTCCTGATGCGTATATTATTCATTTTATGGATGATATATTATTGGCTCATGCTAATCCAGAGGTACTTTCAGAAATTTTTACTCAGAGGCTTCACTTACAGCAATGGGTTTATGCATTGCTCCTCAAAAAATTCAAAAGATGCCTCCCTTTCAATATTTAGGTCAGATAATTCAAGGACGTATAATCCGTCCTCAAAATCTTCAGATAAGAGTTCAGGAGTTACATACCCTTAATGATTTTCAAAAGCTATTAGGAGATATTAATTGGCTGAGGCCATTCTTAAAACTAACTATTTCTGAGTTAAGTCTTTATTTCAGATATTACAAGGAAATCCTTCTCCAACCTCTCCATGTCAGCTGACCTTAGAGGCTAGAACAGCCTTAAAAAGGGTTGAAAATGCAATTAAAAATGCACAAATTACTAGAGTTTATCCTAAGGGAATAGTGTATTTATTAATATTTCCAACTGAGCATACCCCAACAGGAGCCATATGGCAAAGATTAGGAGTTATTGAGTGAATTTATTTATCCCACTCCCCTCAAAAAACATTAATTCCTTTTCATTACTCTATTGCTCAATTAGTAATTAAAGGTAGAACTAGGATTTTACAATTAATGAGATCTGAGCCTGATATCATAATTATTCCATTTTCTGTTCAACAGACTAATTGGCTTTTTCAAAATTCTAGCTTATGGCAGATAGCTTTTGCTGATTTTCCTGGCCAGATAGATAGCCATTACCCTCGTGATAAGATTATCTAATTTGCATCATTAACATCACTTATTTTTCCAAAGATTGTGCATGCACGTCCTATAGATGAAGCCTTATTGGTGTCCACTGATGGTTCAAGCTCAGGTAAAGCAGGTTTTTATAGTTGTGTTCACACAGAGGTAATACAAACTTCATATACTTCTGCCCAAAGAGCAGAGCTTCAAGCTCTGATTTGTGCCTTAAATTACTTTTCAAATGAGCCTATTAATATTTATTCTGACAGCTTATATGCAGTCAGAGTTATCAAAAATATCGAAACTTCAGTTATTGGGTATACTTCATCACAAGAGTTATTTGAATTATTTCATAATCTACAGAAGGCAGTGCTAATGTGAAAATACCCATGTTTCATAGGACACATATGGGCTCATACTAATCTTCCAGGATCTTTAGTTTCAGGTAATGACAAAATTGATAAATTAGTAGGTTTTTGTCAACAGATGTCTTCATATTACTGTGCACAAGCTTCCCATTCCTTGCATCATAAAAATGCTTCTAGCTTACGTAAAAACTCTAATATTACCAGAGAACAAGCTGGTCAAATTGTAAGCCAATGCCCTAAGTGTGTTATTCACACTCCATCTCCACCATCAGGGGTAAATCCCCGTGGATTAAAACCAAATCAAATATGGCAAATGGATGTAACTCATATTCCTCAATTTGGTAAGCAATGTTATGTACATGTCATAGTGGACACATATTCCAGATTTATTTTTGCCACAGCATGTACTAAGGAAAATACTCAACATGTAATTTCTCATTGCCTAGCAGCTTTTCCTGTGTTAGGGTGCCCTGTGCAGATTAAAACAGATAATGCATCAGCTTATGTAAGCTCTTCTTTTCAACAATTTTGCCAAGAGTTTCAAATTAATCATAAAACAGGAATTCCTTATAACCCCCAAGGTCAAGCCATTGTGGAATGAGCTCATTTATCTATTAAGCTTCAATTACAAAAATTAAAAGGGGGGAATAGGGTTATGACTCCCCAAAATAGCTTCAATCATGCCTTGTTCATTTTAAATTTTTTAAATTTTGACGTAGAAGTTCATACTGCCACTGAGAGGCAAATGTCTCCCTCAGTAACAGGCCCTTTAGGCAGAGTTTTGTGGAAAGATTTACAGACTGGTCAATGGAAAGGCCCAGACCCAGTGATTATGTGGGGCAGAGGTCATGCTTGTATTTTCCCAGAAGGTGCTTTTCATCCTATCTGGGTGCCTGAACACACAATCAGACATGGAAGAGATAGAACCGAGATTCAAGCAACTGAAGATCGACCCGGAGAAGCCCCCATCCAAAAGGAAGAGATATCGGAAAAAGACGAAGAGAAACCAGGTTGACCCAGCCAAAAAGCTGATTTCATGGGAATACGTGAAGAAGCTAACAACACAGGCTTCCCGAATAATTCGACTCCTAGGAAAGAACAGGACCCCAGTCTTGATGGTAGTCAGGTAAAGGGGAATCAGATAGACACTTACTGGACATATTTCCCAGATCCACCCCTGGTACACCCAGCTGTGTGGACTGGAGAATCTATTCCAGTATTTACTAATGACTCATTCATGATGGGAGGATTTACAGATACTAATATTACTCCCAATCATGTGACTAGATTTAATTATTCTGGCTATAGTGCCCAATTACATTTGTGTTGGTCCCACGATAAACATGCTGGCTGTCTGAAAGTATCATTCAAGGAAAAGACAGTGATTGGTAGACCTAGACTGACAAATTATTCTATTATTGGAGACTTAAAACCTTATACTAGATCAGTAATTAAGATGGTACTTTCACATAACAAGCCAGTAATTTCTGCAAAACCTCCACGGATACCCCACTGTCCAAATAGTTCTACAATTGAGATTGGCACCTTTCCTAGATGGATGGATTGTGTAAATACCTTTCCTGTACAACATAAGGTGTCTAAAGATAGTGGGTATATTTTAGACTGGTCTCCAAAAATTGATGAGCAATTACGAAAAAATTCTTGCTATGACACCTGCAGGATTTGTTAGTAATATTTTGGCTTACAGTGAGGGTGGTATTCAAAAGGATGTTTGGTGCTTAATTGCTGCCTCAGAATTCTTACATTTTACAGACAAGCCTTTACCAAAATTTGTTGGCAAGAACTGTAAGGAAGGATCTTGCTATGGCTTACGAGCCTGTGTCCAATCTCCTTATGTTTTAATTATTGGAAATGTAAAAGTGAAATGGATAGATGACAGATATATTGTTACATGTAACAAATGTAACCTAACCAATTGTATTACTAGGTGTAATGGAGGAAAAGGACTGCTGATACTTCATTAACCCTCTTTTGTTTTACTACCTGCTAATATTTCAGAGCCATGGTATGCTGATACTGGTTTACAAGTCTTGCAGCAAATTCATTCCCAGCTAGCAAGACCTAAACGTGCTATTGGAATTATAATTGTTGGTGTTTTGGCGTTAGTCTCTTTTATTGAATCCATTGTTTCTGTGTCTCTGACATTGTCTCAAAATATTCAGCATGCAAAATTTCTTAATAATTTAGCTCAAAATATTTCCAAGGCTCTGCGTAATCAAGTAAATATTAATGAAAGGATTGAGACTAAATTAAACTCCTTAGAGGTGACTGTTATAGACATAGGTAATGAACTTTCAGCTTTAAAATTTAAAGAAAAGCTTAAATGCCATGCAAATTATAAATATGTGTGTGTTACAGCTGCCAAGTACAATGCTTCTCTCTGGGATTGGGAGAAGGTTAAAAACCATTTGTTAGGTATTTGGCAAAATAATAATAATAGCTTGGATCTTCTGGAACTTCATCACCATAACCAAGACATTCAAAATAATAGAGCCGATTTTTCGGATCCTTCTTCTTTGGCTAACCAAATATTGAAGGAGTTAAATGGATTTAACCCTGGAAATATTCTTAAACACTTGACCTGGTACATTATTGGATTGTTCTCCTTGATGTTAATTCTCATTTGTGTTGTAATTATAGGATGGCGAGTCTTTGGAACAAGAATGCAGAAACTCGAAAGAGTGAACCACCGCCTCATTTTTAAGAGAAAAAAGGGAGAATATGTGGGAAGCCATTCTCACACGTGATTGGGCACCTCCTGGATTGGTTGTGAGGCGTTCTGGCCAAACTGTGTCGGAGCTATCCACACCCTCTCCAGGTGCGAGAGCCTGTCAGTGTGGGGGTGTGACTGACCACTGACCCTGAGACCAATCACTGACCCTGACCTTGGAATGCTACCCCCCTCGACCTTCATTGGATGGAATTTCCCCCTGAATTTCTTGTTCCCCAATAAAAGGCCACTCCCTGGCATGCTCTCTCTCTCTCCTGCTAGTCCTGAGTAAGCCTTGCTGCCCCACCGGGTGGTTTGAGGGGAGAGCTGTCTCAGACCTGGTCATAGAAAAAGGTAATTGAGTCTGTGTGTTTTATTTTGATCTTACTAGTTAACTTATATGCCACGAACCTCTTTAATGAAACCAGCGTGCTGGTCGCCTGGTAGAAAAAACTTTTCATCTTCAGGCAACCTGAGGCTATTCTGGGTTGGAATCAGGATGAAGAAATTCCCAGAGTGAGGAAAGCTCTGTGTGGGCATTCAGTGTGAATTGGCCTGAGTTTAGGGTTGAGATATGAATTGGGCATGTGCCAAGCCTAGCACCAAGAATGGGGCTCCCCAACCCACATTTCTGTGGGTTTTGGGACCCGATCTTTGCTGAGTGAAACAATACTCCTCTAGCCAGACTTCAGAAAGGATTGATTGGTCAGAGCTAGGAAGAAAGGGACAGTAACTTACAGCCATTTCTGGTGGGAGTAGGGATGATAAAATTTTGGAGTGTGAAGACATCTTTCTTCAAACAAGAAAAAAAATGATTTGTACCAAGATTGGTGGTGGCATGTGAAGTTTGCTTGAGTAAAGCTCTGCTTTCAACTGGGATCCCACCCACATTTCTTTGAGTTCTGGCCTCTACATGAACATTGGAATTACTTTCCACTAGCCAGATTTAGGAGGAGAGAGTGGTTACATGTGGCAAGCCATATCCCACATGAAGAGCCTTACCTTGTGGCAACCATAGGAACAACTTGCTAAGGTTGAGGTGAAGATTTTACTAAAGAAGTAGGGCAATGAAGAATACAAACTTGGTAACTTGAGGTCATTGCTCACAGAAATAAAGAGGAAAACTTTTCAATAATGAAGAGAACAGGTAGGTTCTCCTCAGGTACACCAATCCTATAAGGGTGCCAGTTTCAGACAGTCTGAAGCCACTCCTGGCAGAAGATTGAGGAAGTAATTCCTGGCAGAGGACAGCTGTTTCTCTCAGGTGATGGCCTTAGCTTGGCCCCAGATTGTAGGTGGGCTATGAAGTGCTATGCATGGAAATGGTAGCCAGTCTGATGTCCCAGAAAGCCATATTTGTGAGAATTCTGGTACATCCTTGGGGCTTGTAAATTATTCTCCCATAAGCAGTTTTAGAAGGAGATCTAGTATTTATACCTGGGTATCCAAGGACAGGATAAAGAATCTTTCCCCATCCTAACCACTAGGAGAAACTGGAAAAGCTGAAGTAAATTCTTTACCACAGAAGTAGGAGTCAAACAAGACCCAAATGATCCACCTGCCAGCAACCTAAGGCTAATTCTGGGAGGAAGAAAGATATTAAGATATTCCTGGGAAGATAAGAAATATTTTTTCCAAGTTAAAGTGCATGATTAGGCCATAAGTTTGTGGTGGGATGTAAAGTTCACATTCAGGGAACATTGTCCCCAGACTGGGACCAAACATAGGCACATTCCTGCAGGTGCTTAGGAACCAAACTTGAACACTGGAATTATCCTCCCTTTATGAGATTTAGGAAGAGATTGGTTATATGTGGGAACAAGGGCCCACATAAAGAGCCTTGATCTGTGGTAACTCCAGGAGCAGCTTTCTAAAGCTGAGATAAAATTTTCATTAAAGTAGACAAAGCAGGATGCAAAATTGCACTTTACAGGCAACCCAAGGACATTCCTGGCAGGAATAAGGAGGAAGAAAATCCTGAAAGGAAGAGAATAGTTTCTTCTGGTCAGTGCATGTGGCTTGGTCCCAAGTTGAGGTTAAAATGGGAAGTGGGCATGGGTGCATTCCCGAACTCAGGATGGGGCTCCAGAAAGCCACATTACAATGGTTTCTCTGGCCCAATGTTGGCACATTGGAATGAACCTTCTCTGGACACACTTCAGAGATGCATTGGTCACAGATAAGAAACCAGGGGCTGGAAACAGAAACTTGCCCTGCATTAATCACTTGTACAAGGATTGGTAAGCTGAATTAAATGTTTTCCCACAAAAATAGTGTGCAGCCAGGATTTAAGGGTGCTGATTTTAGGCATTCTGAGGCCATTTGTGAAAGAACAGGGAGGAGGAAATTCCTAGAGGAAGAGAAGTATTTCTCTAAGGCAGGTGATTGGTGAGCTCAGAAGTGTGCATGAGTGGAAACTGGCATCCAGTCCCATAGGGTCCCATAAAGTCACATTCCTGAGGGTTCTCCCAATCCAATATTGGCATGTTGGATTAATAATACTCTTCTGGAGAAACATAAGAAAAGCTTGATTGATCACAGCTTGGGGAATCAGACATTGAATGAAGAGCCTTGCCCTAAGCAAACCCTAGGAGAAGTAGGGTTGAAGTATATTGTTTTTTAATAGAAACTGGTCACGACCAGGAAGTAATGGTGCCAGTGTCAGGAAGTATTAGACTATTGTTGGCAGGACAAGGAGGAAGAAATTTGTAGGAGAAACAGAATGGTTTCTCTGAAATGATGGACTTGGCTTGGTCCTGGGTTGTTGGCTGACAGCATCCCATGCATCCTTAATATACTGAAAAAAAAAAAAACTGGAGAAGTGTAAGGTCACATTTTCAGATACAGAATATTGGGTGACACAAATACTATTAAATTCAGGGTCACAAATGAGCCTTTGCAACACAAACAGAATGTTTAGTTGTTCCTGGTGGAGGTCTAGTTCTTGCTGAATGACTAAAATAGCGGCTTGGGACAGTTTATTTAAGTCACTTTGAATGTCGAAGGCTTCTGCCAAGGCAGTAGACTAATTTTTCACAGTCTGAGCAGTGAGGATACTCTGAGTGAGCAAAGCGGTGGCAGTGGTGTCTTGGTCAACAAGACCTTTGATATCACCCCAAGTTCCTTTATGTGAGGTTTGTTTGCATCATTGAGTCCCTTGTTTGTGAGGTTTCTCCTCTAGAGTTAGTTTCTTCGTCTTCTTGGTTGGTAGTTCTGGGGGTCCAGGGTATGAATTTCTGGCAGGACTTAACAGGTTAAACCTCTAGTATCTAAGAGAGTGTGCAGCACTTGCAGCTGCGAGTATTTGGTGGAACTCAGTAGGTTCCCCCTTTCCCCTTTCTTACCGCTCTGTTAGGGGACACACCCAGTCTTATAGACATACCTCAGGTCCCTGTTCAGGTGCCAGTTGCATGGGCTCTCTCTTATCCAGGAAGGAAGTCCACAGAACAGGGTAGAAGAGAGTGTGGCTGCAGAGTCTCTAATCAAGACCTCTGGAGAACAAGCAGGAAGCAGGTCTTTCTTTTATGCAGCTGCCATGGCTAAGGCCAGCAGAGAGGCTTGAGCTGCTTGTGTCTCTAATATCCTGCGTGGCCAAAATCCAGTCATCTAGCACTGCTGCTCTGTGTTCCTTATTTAGTCTGTCCCAGATCAATTCCTTGGCTAAAGCAGCCCTAACTCTTTCATGAGACACCTTTCCTTCTCCCACCTTGTTTTCTCTGTCAATAAACTGTGGCAAGTCCTCAGAGGCTTTCTGCCTTAACCCCTGTATAGAAATTGTACCTTGCTCAGCAGGTACCTCCTCCAGGCTCTTAGAGCACAGAGCCACACCTAATCCAAATAATTTGGTGGGCCAGTGGCTTGTACTGCAAGGGAACTGTAGATTCCCTCTTCCTGCAAGCATTCAGCTGGAGGTTAACATTTGTGGTGTGGTTACGATCCCCTGCTGTTCACATTCATCATAGAAAAATGCCTTCCACTTCAAAAATATTGCATGCTCAAGAGTGGCTCTGGCTAGGTCTTTCCAGTCTTCAGGGCAATTAAGTTCAAGACTGAGTGATTCTAGAATTTCCTCTGCAAAGGGCCCCCAGGGCCCATCCTCTTTTATTGCCTTCTTTAACTCCTTCAGGGTACCCAATGCATGTGAATACCAAGTGGCAGGGTGCTGTGGTATGGAGGCTGTGTTGACTGGGAAGGCTTGTATTCCCTTACCCCACTTTTCATCTCTTATCCTACATAGATCTTGAAAAGGATCTCTGGCCTCCTGGAATGGGTTTCTGGGAGATTATGGCTTGGGCATGTCTGGTGGCCTGGTCATTTCTAAGCTGTCATAGGCCCTTGCTGGCAATGGCATTGCCTCATAAGGAGGCAGTTGCCATTGACTCAGGGAAGGATATAATCTTTGCCTGTCAGCAGAATGCACATTTGCACAATTTGTGGTCACCTATTCCTGAACCATGAAGGCTAGTGGCACAGTTTTCTGCCTTTCTCCCTCCTGCAACTGTTGTGGTTGCTTACTTCAAAGTAAAATTTTGCCCCTACTCTCCTGTGCCTGTTGTGGTTGCTTGCTTTGAGGTAGATTTTTGCCCCCACTTTTTTACCCTTGTCTGTCTCTCACAGCTTCATCTTCCCTCAGGGCCATCATTATATGACAAGGGTTTGTTGCAGGGCTCCCTAAACTTTGCTGAATGGCTGTCACAATAGGGAAAAAATGTAGTGGTAAAGTATACCCCTGTCTACTTTAGCTTGCCACGCATTTGCCATTATTTTGTCTCATACCCTAAGATCAAAAACATCAGTAATATTGGTCCTTGGTTTAATGTTTATTATTATCATATCACTGAACTTCTAGGCTTCTCTCTTATTCAGGGTTAAACCTCTAGTATCTAATAGAGTATGCAGCACTTGCAGCTGTGAGTTTTTGGTGGAACTCAGTAGGTTCCCCCTTTCTCCTTCCTCACCGCTCTGTCAGGGGCCACACCCTGTCTTATAGGCTTACCTCAGGTCCCTGTTTGGGTGTCAGTTGTGTGTGCTCTCTCTCGTCCAGTGAGGAAGTCCACGGAACAGGGTAGAGGAGAGTATGGCTGCAGAGTGACTAATCAAGACCTCTGGAGACCAGGAAGGTAACAGGTCTGATTTTATTGCGCAGTTACTATGTATATATACACAGGCAGTAGCTATGCAGATTATAGGCAGCCACCAGTATAATTTCTTACTAACTGTTCTTGCAGTGACAAATTGAGGAGTGGGCCATGGACTACAACACATGGCCTCCTGACCAGGGCTGTGCCTACAGGGTAAGTAATTTGCTGCTCACATGCCTAGCACAAGGGGAGTGGCCTGTCACTCAGATGCCCTTAA